TGACAGTGACAGGGGCCTACATGTCAGATTCGATATTGCCACTTAACTGTCATAAAATCTATGAAACGATATCGATTTTTATTCGATTAATAATATCATGAAAAGAATAATCTTTGACGCGTTTTAAGTTCTGCACGCTTTTTAAAATATAATTTCCTTTATTTATTGAAATTCTATTTCAAATGTATTTTTAGGAACAGTTAGCTTGTGCTGTATTGTTTTGTTATGCTTTAGAGAACTCGTGGTAAATCGGCTAGAAATTAACTTGAATTATCATAACATGATTCCATTTTAAATGTTATGTTAAAAACAGATAAGAATAACAGTTAACTTGTGCAGTAGCGTTTTGTTATACTCTAAAGAATTCCTGGTAAATCAGCTAGTAATTCGCTTGTTTAATTATCATAACTATAAATGTGAAGGTTGTCAATGAATTCAACCGAGCCTATAACAACGGTTGTTTTAGTTTTTAACGGTTGACTACCGCTTTTGATGACTTGAAATGGATAAAAACCCATTTTGTGCAATAAGTTATTTCTCTTTAGTAATGAATAAACCACAGGAACCCCTATAATGTCCTTTTTTTAGACACAAGTAGCACATTTTAAATAACCGCAAAAACAACTTTGTTATTTATACAAACACTATGAAAAACAAAATAATTTGTTGCTGGCGATAATGATAGTAGTATTTTGACTCGATTTAAAATATATGCTTGTTACTACAGAACTCTTCATGGGCCTGCGAGTCCGACTCGCACTGAACCACTTTTTTTCAACTTTTAGTTTTATTTTAATAAATAGTTTTTTCGTTTAAGCGGAGCTCTTTTACTTTAGATTTATTACCTCTTTATCTATAATAATCAATCTGAGTAAGTAAAGTGTGTAAATACGATTCTTAAATTGTAAAAATAATAATTGGATTTGAACATCTTAGGTAGGTATTTAGTTTTATTAATTTAGAAAATATTAATCTCACAATTAATTATTGTAATAACATAAATGTATCACACAGCTAACGCCCTCATTAGCAATGTAAAAGTAAAATAAAGTTACAGCCTATATACGTCCCATTGCTGGGCTCAGGCCTCCCCTCATTTCTGAGAGGGTTTAGGGCAAGGAAGTGTCCGCCGCGCTGCCCAAATGCGTGTTGACGAACTTCACATGTCTTCGAATTATTTTTTTTCTCTTATTCCTCAGACATGCAGGTTTCCTCACGATGTTTTCCTTCACCGCCGAGCACGTGGTAAATCAGCACTTAAAATTGCAATTAACAATTTCATTGGTGCCGGCGGGGATCGAACCCGGGTCACTCGCGTTCTGTTATATTTACAGCGAGCGTTAACCACTGAGCTACCACGGCTCAGTCTCATAACAATCTAGTGGTGAAAGAATTCTCAAAGTTGGTCAAGTACTTTACGAGTTTAGCGAAAAAAATATTCTTTGATAGTAGCGCCCTCAATAATAAAATGCATCCTACGTTTTTAAGCACCATAGCAAAAAACGATTCAACATAGCCTAACCCGCACACACAGTAAAAACATAACAATCCTTTTTCGTCTGTAGTCGGATAAACAACTGGTTAATAACGGTTGCGTATCGGCTGCTTTGGATAAATATGCATTGTCAACGGTTATTTTAAACCTATATCATAACATCGTAATAATTATCGAAAAATTATATAAGCATTGTAATAATGACACCATAAGTAATCGATGGAAAAGGGGAATCGATTTTTTTAATGAGATTTGTGATTGGCAACACTTTTTATTTTATTCACAAACTAATGAATTAATGTTTTACCTAATTTTAATCTTATCTTTTCGGTACTTTTAATTTGTGCGAAAATATTCCCATTGTTTTAGGATAAATGAATATCGCGATTAATAATCATAAATAAAGATATATTTTTTTAACAAATGCACATTGTTGGGCGTTCCATGGCCGAAAATGGGCGATCCCCTTTCAACATGAAAATGTTTTGTTTTAGATATACAAGCATATTCGCATAGATGCGAAACAGTTATTTGTAGGGCATACAAATAGTATTTTCGTGTGGGGTTTGAACTCGAGACCCAGAGGGCTGCAGCCAAATGCATAGCCTCTACGCTACCGAGCCGTTGAATTAAATTGTGAAAAAGGTGTGATTTTTTTGTAAAAATATTACTTTTGTTTTTAAGTATTTTTGTAAAAAACTGCTAGAGGCATATCCTTGTATTTCAAATAAAAAATATAAATAGTTATTACCTCATTATTTACCCTACTGACGCATCCTTAACTCTCCCTTATAACCTAATATTATCGCAATTGTTAAGCAGTAATTAATAACACATATTATGAACTATAGGAAATGATATTTACTTATTAATAAATAACAAGTTTTATATCAAGTTACTAGGTACCACATGTTATATGTATTAAATTTTAATTTTAAATGACCTCACATCATATCAACAAAATTAATGAGTAAGGTAAGGTAAACACCGCACATCGCTTTAACGAAAATGTTAGAGGAATTTAACTTCCAAAGGATCTTAAACAATAATGTTTAATATTGGGTATGTTCCGAAATACAACACAGTACACTGTCGAATGCGAATGACGTCATAAATCGACGCCATATTGGTGATTCGTGGTATCGAATATGGTGGAATGCGACGTCAATTAATGACGTCATTCGCATTCGACAGTGTACTGTGTTGTATTTCGGAACATACCCATTGTATTCACATTGATCCTTTAGTAGATCCTCAGGAAAAGCATCTTGACGGACGAGCGGAGGGACAGACGGATGAAAGGACGTTTCTCCCTTTTGAGATGCAGAGCCCTAATATACCTGTCATTTTTGTTTAAGTGTAAAATACTAACAGTAAAAGGTAATACTATGGAACATACAAAGACATTTAGGAAAAACAACATAACCAAACTTCATCAAATACAACGGCTAAAATAAACAAAAACGAAAATAAAAGTATTAAGTAATAAAGTATAAGTACATGGAGATATCTATTTTTTTGTTCTAATATTTATTTTATTTTTTATTTATTTTTATTTTATAATACAACCTTTTTGCTAACGACATATGTTCGCTAGTTCCCTGGCCCTTGAGCTAGTATTACCAAGTTTTAGGAACTAGTTCTAGTTCTCTCCCTTTAAAGAAAGCATGGTCCAAGGGTAAATTTTAATATAATAATTTAAAGTTATTGAGTTAGTTAATCCGTGCAGTCTCGGGCAAGAATACCCACTTGAAGAGACATGCCCCAGTCCCCAACGACCTCGCTATTCCTGGCTACGGTGGCGACTATTGCAGCGGTGGGATAGGGGGTGCTCAGAAGCTCCGCTGAAGGTTCGGTTGCCACCTAAGACCACTCAACCAGGCAACATATCACGCACGCACCCTGAGGACTGAGGAAAAGATCCTGGAGCTGGAAGAAGAGATTTACAAGAGACAAGTTGCGCTTAGATATTATAGGATTATCCGAGGTGCGAAGAGAGGGGGAGGGCACGGTTATCCTCGAGTCCAGCAAATTGTTCTATAATTGGGAGGGCAATCATCTGTTCCAAGGAGGTGTCGGATTTATCGTCCACAAGTCTCTCGTTAACAACGCTGTAAAGATTGGGAGTGTGTCGACAAGGGTTGCGTACCTTATACTCAGAATCACCAAACGATATTCGCTGAAGGCCGTACAGGTTTACGCACCAACTTTGGTACGTCCCGATAAGGATGAAGGAAATGTATGAGGATATATCTAGAACCATGCATTCCTCCAAATACCCGCTTTAAGGTGTTAATGGGAGACTTGACGCAAAACTAGGCACATGAGAAAACGGTGAGCTAAATATGGGATATTTGGAATAGGGCAACGAAACGTCCAGCAGCTGACTGACTTCATAGAGAGTGAGGGGCTCTTTATGTTTGACTCTTTATTCAAGAAGCGGCCTCACAGAAAGTGGAGCTGTTCGAGCCCCGACGGTTCCATCATATTTTAAATTAAGTTATAATACATATTCTTAGCCATCAAGGCAGAGCACAGTTCGATCCAAAAAGAACAATTTGTATTTTTGAATAAAGGATAACTCAGACTTAAATGAACCCAGACATCTCGGTCAGCCAGGGCCAGGTACTCATACCACCAGGCCACGGTCGTCATAGCACCGACAGGTCGACATCCCTGGGTAGGTCTTGGTAGGTAGAATAACTCTGACTCGTTCGTCGGCGTTTCTAGCCGATCTTCGGTCAAGTGGAAGGCCCTAATACTTTGGTGTCCCGCTCCAAAGATAAAAACAATACTACATATGAACGAAAACTTCCGCCATGTAAGGTTGCAGAGGGGTTGCCTCTAATTTTTTTTACAGAATAAGGGTGACAATTCACCTGGTAAAGTGAATGCTGTGGCCCATCGACATTTACATTTATCCTCGACTAAGAATCGAAATACAGGTACGTTGTCACCCCTGTAGACAAAAAGTGAATGCCTAATTTCTAGTAAAAAGGATTTCTGTGAGAAGGTGGTCCTACCCCGGTCGAGACGACTCATTCGTGCTACAACCATAATGTAGCTGCAGCGTGGAGGAAACGCCAAAGATTTTTTCTGCGGATAAAGATGAATTTATTGAATGATGATTCTTTATTCGAACTCGTGTAAATTTAAATCAGAAACAGATACCTCAAAAGAAATCATTAAAAATGTAAGTTGTACTCCAAATGTAGTTCATATTATCTGAACACACTAAATATCATATCAAAACGTAGGCATTATAAAAAACTCTTTTAAGAGAAAAGTGTCTTTAAATGTTTATGGTAATAACATGATTACTTAGCTTAAGGTTCCTTTAAACCTTTGACCTGTAACTCACCAAAAACACTTTATTTATTTCATTGAAGACGAAAAACACATAACCGGTTATTTTCCTATAAACAGAATTGCTTTAAATTTAAATCAGTATAAATAGGACTATATGGATAGCTACCATCATCATTGTTAAAGGAGACTTGTCAACATGAATACTGTAAGTCAACATACTCTAATTATTTACATCATAATATTTTCTGAAATATAATTGCGGCAGAATCAATTATAATATTTATTAAACACTATTATTTTATTTATTTTTAAAAAAACAAGCAAAAAGCATTTTACTTAACAAATGGTATATTAAACTGTTGTTTTTTTTTAAATATAAATAAGGGTGATAAACGAGCACAGTGTCCATCTGAGGGTAAGTAGATATTGTGACCCATAGACATCTAATATCAGTGAAGAATTAAATTGCCGGTGCGTTGTCATGTCACCCCTGAGGAATATGACGGAATGCCTCATTACCAGTTTAAAGGGACTCGGGTTCTTGTCACTCACCGTACGAAATACAGCAGCATTTCTGCTATTTTACGCTGGTATATTGTGCAAGTGCGTTCTTCTTCCCCGATTCAGCTGACCCATTCGTGTAGGAATAATTGTCGACTCCGTGGCGCAGTGGCTTAGCAATGAGTGGCTGCGCTGGGGTCGCGGTTCCCGCACGGAACAAGTATTTGTATGGCCTACAAATATTGTTCCGGGTCTGGATGTTTGTCCTTGTGCAATTTATGTTTGTAAACTGCCCCCACGATACAGGAGATAATCCTAGTGTAGGGTTAACGTTTTTAAAAAAAAAATAATAAATTGCAGCGTGGCTTAAACGCTTAAATGTTTATGTTGTTACATATTTATCGTAAAAGTTTTTAGATATTCATAAAGTTATTTTACTTACAGTTCCAGTGTTTTGCTCTTTTGGTGTGTGTATGCTTGACATATGCACTGGCGCTACCGTATCCGGATGAAATGATAGTTCAGCTGGAAGGCCTACAAGGGGAAGAATCCAGAAATGGAGGTTGGGAACATGGAGGAGGTAGCGGGGGACACGGCGGCGGCCATGGACAAGGAGGAGGTTATGGCCACGGCGGCGGTGGCTGGGGAAACGGTGGCGGTTGGGGACATGGATAGGGACGCGGCTGGATAACAAAAACTACCAGGGGAATTTTATTCATTTATGCCATTTAAAATTTCATTCCATTGTATTTGTCATTATTTCATTCTGTGATTTTAATTTGATTAAACACTAATATTACTTTAATATGTCGGATTTCATTACCTCTATCGTCTTTAGCGTCGTAAATATTTTTTGAAATATGTTTTGATTCCCAGATATGCAAATTTTATATTTTATTTTCACTGCCGAGAACACGGTAATTAAAAGTTAAGGGGTGCCAGCGTGGATCAAATTTAATTTTCTTACGTACTGTGAAATTGACGTTTGGACTGGTTCGATTACCGGGTTTAGCAAGTGATTTTTTAAATTCTATCTCTGCCTTAAGTTACAGTTATATACCCATAGAATACTATAATATATTGCATATTATAGTATTCTATGTATATACCTGTGTTTTATTAAAATTTGTTTTCTTTGATATAAATTGTACTTTTACCCAAAAGCCTGTTGATTTATAAATACTCATGTCTGCTATGAAACCGGATCTGTCACAAAAATCTTAATATGTTCGAAAATATGAAGCTATCTTAATAAATGACAAACTGTTTGACAGGTCTCATTAAAAGTAAAAAAGTAGCAGCTTAAAAACGTTTCTCGACTGCGCACTGGGCTGCTCGTTACCCGTAATGTAATGAGCCCAGAGCAGGAAATAGCCCTCCGCAATGCTCCCGTGTGTAATAGCTCGTTCAGTTTTCGATTTTTTTTTAAGCACTTAGATATCAAGGTTTCCCCACGAAGCTATTCTACACCACTTCACTTCCGAAGACGTAGAAAATCAGTAAATAGAATTTCCTATAATAGTTTCATTGGTCCTCGCAGGAATCGTACACGTTTGGCTCTCGTTAAATAAAGTTGGTAAAAACTAAAAAAGCTTCTTCACGATTGTGGACCACATATACCTACCTAGTAATTAAAAACAACGGGCAACTATAGCAAACATTGACTTGGACACTGCTCTTTAACAATTATGGTTATATATAAATCACACTGCTGTCCGTATGAGGAAGCTCAAAATCTCTCAGGAAGCTACGGAGAGGGCGTGACGCCATGCACGGCGTTTCTCTGCCTTATAAACTTAGAAATGAGGATATACGCGACAGAACCAGAGTAAGTGACATATTAGTAAGCTGAAGTGGCAATGCTCCGGCCATATAGCTCGAAGAACCGACAACCAATGGGAAAGAAAGGTTCTCTCGAGTGGTAGCCTCGTACCGATATGTGAATTTTAAGGCAGCCCACCACTGTTGTTGACGAGTACGTTTACCTGGGACAAATAGTCCGACTGGGTAAGTCCAACTTCGACCGAGAGGTCAATCGACGGATTCAACCAGGCTGGGCAGCGATCGGGAAATTACGTCAGGTATACCTCAAACTCTGAAAACTAGATTGTATAACCAGTTCGTATTGCCAGTGATGACCTATCTAACTGAGACGTGGTTCTTCACTGCTGGCCCTATGAGGACGCTCAAAGTCGCTCAGCGAGCTGTGGAGAGGGCTATTCTCAGGGTTTCTCTGCGTGATAAACGCAGAAATGAGGATATCTGCAGTAGAACCAGAGTGACCGACATAGCCCAACGGACTAGTAAGCTGAAGTGGCAATGGGCCGGCCATATAGCTCGAAAAACCGATAACCGATGGGGAAAAAAGGTTCTCGAGTGGCAGCCTCGTGCCGGTAGGCGTAGTGTAGGTCGACCCCCCACTAGATGGAGTGACGACCTGGTAAGACATGCAGGAAGTCGATGGATGTAGGTGGCCCAGGACCGTGCTTCGTGGCATTACTTAGGGGAAGCCTTTGTTCAGCAGTGGACTTGTGAAGGGCTGTAAAGATGATGATGATGATGTTGAGCCACAGCGTCCACTTACACAGATCCTCTACTGGAGGCCGTATAAAGATGCTCGAAGTCGCTCAGTGAGCTATAGATAGAAGCATGTTTAGAAGTTCTCTGCATAATAGTAAACCGAATCAGTAAACCGATGTGACAATAGGCTGGCTATATAGCTTGAACAAGTGACAGCCAATGGGGAAGAAAGATTTTCGAATCTCATACCGATAAATGAAATGTACGGCGCCCCCCCCCACTAGATTGCAGTGATGACCTGATAGTGAATACACGTGGCTCACGACTCAGCTTTGTGGCGTTCCTTAAGGCGTGGGAGGCCTATTTTACACGGTAAACTTTTAATGGGTTTTCATTCATTCAGAACTAATGGATACACCAGCAATTACGTTAATAAAAATATGTGTAATTTTCCTTGATCAATAAATAATCAATAATAACATAATATCCCATTTTAAATTGTTTCGATATTTAAACAAAGCAAGAAGGAAAATAAATATGATGAACGGATCAAAAAAATAATGTCAGTTTGAATTCATAGCTCCGTTATACATAAAAATGTTTTTATAAAGGCGCTAGCATATATAATATTATGTATGCTGATTTATTAGAATTCAAGGCCAAGTATAATCCAACTGTTTTCTCACCAAACTCGATGATAAAATCAAGTTCAAAACAACAATACGAATACAAAGCAAATTCACAGTATATTTTTCCGGTAATGGTACAGCTATTAACGAAGTTGTATTTATAAGTTTTTGTTCTTGTAAAAGATCAAACATTTTTTTATAATCTTTCATTAAGACAAATATAAAAAAATGCGATGTTAAATTTTGCGCAGTATCCTCAGACCCACAAAGAATGAACAAGCGATTTTTTAAATTTTGTGTTTAAAAAAATTTAATACACCTCATTTTTCATATTCCTACATTGTCATCCGATTCTGAGCTATGTTCAAAATTCAAAGCTCGGGAACTGCTAGAAATTTTAGTTGCAAGATTCCACACGGAACGAGTGACACAAACAAAAAGTGACTTCGAAAAATGTGGTAAAAATGGAGCGCCATATATACATTTCAAGTGATGCTAGAATGGTAGAGCCATGCTGCAGCTATATTTTCGTTGCAGCACGAATGGGTTGCCTCGACCAGAAAGGACCACGCTCTCACAATACCAGCGTCAAATAGCAGCTAAATGCTGTTGTTTTTTATATAGGAGAGACTCATCTGATGGTAAGTGATGGTTGCCGCTGGTGTTGCAATTGTTCATCAACTGCAATACCAGGGGAATTGTGGATCAGTTGCTGGCCTTATACCGACAAATATCTGGTGGTAGTTGCTTCCACAAGGGAGAAAACGAATTCCGCGAGGAAGAAAACTTCGTTTAAATCGCACAGTGGTGGACTGCCAGTCATCCAGATGGTATAGATGGTATCGCGAGGTGCGATGGTAAAATTGTGCGGCTGGAATTATTCCGAACAATTCCTCTGAGCACTCCACGTGGTAAATGCGGTAAAATACGCAAAAAGATGCAACATCTCTTCACAGTGTCAGTGTGTCGAGCCGATCGGAAAGAGCTCAGTCGCCGACAATTCGAACAGCTCTATGCTAGATGCGATCAAATGGAAGGAGCTGGCACTGGGGAGCCCCAGCCCAGAGATGGGAACAGTATTCCATGTGCGGCTGAACTTGCACCTTATAAAGTTGCAGGCGGTGTGCTGGCATGAAATACTGTCCCACTCTGCTGAGCACGCTAAGTATTTTAGAGGCCAATTTGGCCTTCTCTTCCAAGTTCCAAGTTCAAACCACGAAACTGCACGTCACTCGATATGTCGACGCTGAGGATTCCGATACTGGCTGAGGCAACTAGGGGAGGGGTTCTTTTTAACGTGATAGTGAGAAAGGTTTTAAATTTGATCTGTTAGGGTTGACACTTGATTTTGATTTTGGATACATGTAGAGATTTATGGGCCACAGCATTCACTTATCATAAGTTGCAGTAAATTTTTATGGGCTGGTAAAAAAAGAAAGATGTGTGCGTCACTACGTAAAAACATTAGATACTACCAGCGAGTTGGCAGCCAGTTTTTATGTTTGGTGCAGTTATTCATGAATTGACCAGTCGCTGCTTTAGAATAGCTCGTACCTCTAATTCTGAATTGATTTTAGATGTGAGGTCTTTTACTTCCTCTGAGCTTAGTGAGTAATTTAATAGAAGGATTACATTTTTCGCTATAGAGTGTTACTAACTTTAATGCTTCTGTCGCATTTACAAGTTTTCAACAGATTTTATCAAAATTTATTGCGGTAGAACTTTTCTCTTCTGACAATTTAGTGATAATGAACATTTTTCAATAATTAAGGTTGTTTCAGATTCTTTCATCATTATCGCAGCTTATCAAAAGTCCACTGCAAAATATAGGCTTGCCTTGCATAGATTACAGTAGTTTGTTTGGATTTTTTAAACTTTTTAAAAACATTTTGTAGATCTATTAATAATTTTTTTACTTTTATTTGAGATACAAAACTTAAATGCACTAATGTAACAATGAAATTAACCTACTATATTATTTAACTTTGTTTTCCACAAAATAATAAACACAATGGCAAAACTTGCCATTCACACAGTCCTTTTTTGTATTTATCTGAATAATCATTGGCCATGTAAACATAGTTGCTGATTCGCTCTTTGTAAATTAACTTAAAAGATATGTATATGCTGTATATTTCAAGCCATCATAGTTGTTTTCATAAGGAAATAACATAAAGACTCATAACAGCGTCACATAGCACATTAATATGTTTTCCTTGTTTTACTAACTTTTTAACTTTTATATTTCGTGGTTTCTTTATGGCCCATCGTATTTTGAAGAATTGCACAAATAAATTTATTTACTAATGCGGTATGTGGTATATGGTATGAAGTAATGCAGAAGTTGAGCTTTAGTTCCATGTACTAATATTCTAATCTTAATATATAGCTTTGCTATAGTCATATTATGCGTTCAGCACGATAGACACAAATATTGACCTTTTCACTTTGAATTTATAATGGTTGTTCCCGTGTTAATGACGCTAACTTAGTTGAGCGAGCGTATCGTATTGTGTCACGAAAGTT